TAAATGTATGACTATAACTCTTAGGTGAAGGGACATGACCATTTTTAAAAGGCATAATTTTTTTCTATATAAAGGGCACTTGCCACAATGTGAAAAAGTGAGAGAAAAAAATGTGTGAGAAAAATGATTTATTAATTATTATAATTTCATTGATTATTTAGCTAGAATAATGAAGAAATAATGTATTTATTTTTTGTGTTTAATCTATGATAATGAAATATTAATTAATGTATTTTTCTATGTTTTTCACATCTTTTGTCTCGAGACTAGCCTCGTTAAAATACATTAGCAAAGTGCTTCGTACAACAACCGACAATTTGGTCTCATTCGTTGTATTTTAATAGTTCTATATTGTAACCCTTGTTGCTTATAATATGGTAGATAAAAAAACTTTTAGAAAAGCATTCTCATGGATCATGCGTCTTGAAGGTTTATGCAGTTAATGTTAACCAATTCTATTCTGAACTACATGTGGCTTGATCCCTTTCATTGGGGTACGTAGGCAACTTAGAATATTTAATGTTTCTAAATGCAGTCACGATAACAAACATTTTTTTATTGTTCTATCAAAAATTATTAGGGAAATATGGAATAAAATTTGCATATTTAAAAGATAAATAAATAATTTTAGAAAAAAGTGACAAGAATACATCATATAACAATGCAAATTTACAAATACTCCCTCCGTCTATCAAAACACTTTTCTATTTTTCATTTTACCCATACTTTTCATATCATATTTATCACACCATATTTTTTCATTAATAATGCATTCATCACATTTTATTTTTACTCAAGCACATTAAGGGAAAAATAGAAAAATCAACTACAATTTAACCATTTATTATTTTAGTCTTTAGTCAAATTAGAAAATATTTTCTGAGACAGAGAAATGTAATGAAAAAAAATCTTTGATTTTCGAATAGTAAATAATTGCAAGAGGGAGAAAGTATATTTGTTACCCGGGATTAAAAGTCGTCCCTCATGATTACTGAGTATACTTTAGGGAGAGGTAATATTCTCTTACGGGAAGTTTATTACGGAGTATGTACCTTTTTTTATTTTTTTTACCGGTCAGCAGGATCGGGTCGGAGCCTCGGAGATACGTAAGCAAATAAGCCATACTACTTCCGTCCCAGTGTATTTGTCCAGTTTGATTTTATCGAGTCAAACTGGTTAAACTTTGAACTCCTATTACTCTCAATTCATATTGCATATTAGAATAATGAAATACAATTTTGAAAGTTCTCAATACGATAAATCCAATAAATTCATTTTTATATTAAAATACATTACGGATTTTATTTAATTGAATCTCAAAATTTGTCTAGTTTGACTCGAAAAAATCAAATTGGACAAATACACTGGGACGGAGGGAGTATAATATACATGCCCACGATATATGTTATTCTCTCCGTCCCGGATTATTGGTTCACTTTTGAATTTTTCCAGTTAAAATTGAAAAACTTTTAATTCCAAATGAAATAAAAATGATGTTAGATATTAATACAGAAAACTTTTCTGTTAGATTTATTATATAAAATAATTTTAAAATATTATTTTATGTAATTAATATATAATCTATATTGAATTTAATAATAAGTTAAAGGTTAAAAACGGTTCATTAGAAAAAATCAAAACTGAACAAATAAGGAGCGGGCGGGGCGAGGGCGAGTATTTAAAGAAACCAAATAAGCAATTGAACGAAGTATAGTATTCGATCAGTGTGTACTAAATAAATATGTATAGAGCAGTGAAGAAAACTTGTTCTCTTCTTCTTCTTCTTCTTCTGCAGCAGCAGCAGCGGGTAGTAGTAATTATAAGTTCGAATATGCAATTCGCGATATAATTGTGCTACTAGTCGCCGCCGCAGCTGGGGCAACTCATGCAGCAGCTGATGATGACGATCACAAAAAAAAAGGTCACACAAGGGAAGTTCTTATAGGATTGGGCATCCTATGGGCGGCGATCCTTGTGGCGGGGGCGATTTATTGGATTCGGCGTTGTTTAACTCGTAGGAAAAGGGCAGCAGCGGCCGGCGGCGGAGCGCCGTCCCAAGATTAAATCGCCCGCCCCATCGACCTTACCTTCACATCTATACGGATCGGATCGGAGTACATAATTACACTACACCAATCACCATTTTTATACGGATCCGTATGCATCTAATGTATTCCATCCTATCCTTCAAACATTTAGTTCCCAAAAATGAGTGAAATTTGCACTAAATAGTACTAAAACATACATGTCTTCTCTCAGTGTAGTACTTAAATTTCTTTATTCCCTGAATATTACTTGAATAATGTCTAGTGGCGAAAACAATATCCATTAGTGTTGGACGTTTAGTTTGAACAATGTCCAATGTCAGTGGACATTTACTTGAACAATGACCAGTGGACATTGAACAATAGTACTTACTATCAATCCTTTTGAATTCTTTTAATTCCATGTTAACATGCGGTATTTGCACATATAAATGAATATGTTCTGTCTGCTCCATAAATCTCTCTACGGTGTGCGACAGGCTATGCGCCGGTAGTTCGCCAAACTCTCTTTCTTCTTTAAGGGTATTAGGTTTGTTTAGTCCAAAATAGATTATTCTTCGTTTTTATCAAGAATGCCATAGAGATACGCGTGCTCATCTTTGATGATGATTTAGTTATTGTAGGATATAATGAGTCCTCTATAGCTTGCTTAAGTCTTACCTTTTAGAATGCTTTCATATGGATGACTTTGGTCTCTTAGAAGTTTTTTTTTTTTTTTTTTTTTGAGAATTGAGGTTGCACTGAACTCCAAAAGAAATTTCATATGCCAGCAAAAATATGCTTGAAAATTCTCTCTGAAATAGGGAATTTAGAAGCAAGACAGGCTAGCACACCTCTTCAGCCAAACCATGAGCTAGCTCTAGCCAACGGTACATTCCTCACTTACTCGAGCCGCTACTGCCGGTTAGTGGATCGTCTCATTTACTTGACTGTCACAGGACCAATGATTTTAAAACCGGACCGGACCGGACCGGCCGGTCTGACCGGTCAGACCGCGAACCGGTAAGCTTCCCGGTCCGGTCCAATATCAAAACCCAGTTTTCTTTTGACCCGCTGGGAACCGGCAAACCCGGCAAAACCGCCGACCCGGGTCGACCCATCCTACCTGCGGGTTTATAATATTTACGCTTTTTTTGTTTTCAAAACTCAAAAGCAGATCTGTCTCTTCACTTTCTTCTTCTCAGTTCTCATATGTCTCTCTTTCGCGGCGAACCGGTGAGCTTCTCGCTTTTTTGTTTTCTCATACGTCTCTATTTTGCTGCACTTTCGATTTCATCTTCCCTCTTCATATTTTGCATTGGAATCAATAGAAGAACCAAATTGCGTGCTTATTTTTTCCGTTAAGGATTCAAGGTGGGTAGGTTTTTATATTTTTTACTGTCAATTTTAGGTTTAAGGTTTTTAGGTAAAGCTTCAGCCACTATTTATCATTTACATTAAAAAATTTTAAGTTTTTAAGGCGAATTTGTATTTCGTTTTTTACATGAATTGCTTGGAATGTTTAAGTTGATTTTGGTGCAAATTTTTAGGTCTCTTTTAGCTAGGTTTGTTTTGGTTCTATTTAGGTCTGATTTTGCTGTAAATGTTTTGCTGCAAATTACATGTTTAGGTTTTGTTTAGGACTTTAGGTTCGAATTAAGTTCCTTTTGTAAATTTGAGATTATGCAAATTAAATGATTGTTCTGCCAATATTAATGTTTAGATTTTGTTTAGGTTCTGCAAATGTTTAGGTTCTCTTTTTTATGGAAGCACATTTACATAGTAAAATAATGACATGGCTACTAATGACCGTTGACCGAGTCGTTGACCCGAGTTGACCCCGGTTCAACCGGTTAGCCCTTGACCCAATTCTTTGTCCGAGTCGACGTACGGTCCGGTTTTCAGAACATTGCACAGGACTTGATCATACTTACAGTATGCATGTTCTTTCTTAATTCATGAGCAAATTGCACAGTGAACATTGTGATGCTACCTGATACTTCATTCGTCTCAATTTATATTGTCTGTTTCGATTTACAATGTATGACTAAAATCATATTCAAATCATTTTCTATGAAAAATAATGTAGAATTAAAAAATAAAAATTACAAATTAAAATACTAAAAGTGTAGAATTAAAAGTGCAGAATTAAAAAATAAAAATTAAAATAGTGTAGAATTAAAAAAATAAAAATTACAAATTAAATGACAACCGAAAAAAGAGAAAGACAGTGAATGAAGTTTGACTATGTAAATAGTAAACAAATAATTTAATTTGGGACGGAGGAGTAGATTTTTTTTCCTTATGTCAAATCTTTGGAACTGTGTGGCCGAAATTGACTCTGATTGCGTCAATTATCATCTTACACTAGTTCAAGGCACTTCAGGTTCACACTGAGTAATTCATGATTTAGCCCAACCTAAACCTATGGGAACTTGGACCATGCTAGGGTGCTACCATGGGTGCACCCATGTTTCGCACAGACAAACACAGACGATAAGTGTCTGTGCGACACAGACAATTATCGTCTGTGTTTGTCTTGCGAAGCATGGGTGCACCCATGGTAGCACCCATGTGGTAGCACCCTAGCATTTTCCATGGGAACTTAGCTTGTATTAATGGCTAGAAAAATTATCTAAGGTCCATTATGAAGCTATATATGAGTAAAAAATAAGTATTTTTTTACAGTTTAAATAAATATATTTTTTATTTTAATAAAAAAATTATAAAAAAAAATTCTGTGTGAGAAAATTCACAAAAATGATATGCATCTAAGGTGCACCAAAGAACACTCTCGTGACTAACCTATTGGAACTTAGCCCAGTTTAAATGATTTATTTAACAGTTGAAACTAATTTCTCTTTTTCATTTTCCTTCTGAAGAAGCAAAACTCTCACCTCAAAATTAGACAAACCAGAAAAGTTTTCTTTATTGGTACTTATTATTTACAATTTCTCATTTTCAATTAAAAGAAAACCTGTGTTATTTAGTTTCTTAATCACGGTCCTAAACCACAATAAAGCCTTCCCAATTATAGTTACTTCAATTAAACCTTGATCTGCTTGTTACAAATATGTCAACTTCTAACGCCCAAAATTACATCTCAAAGGATTAACAGTCCACAGCACATCTTCATGAACAAGTTGATACAATCAATAAGAGAATGAGTATATAAAAGAATGAAAGACCTAAGAGCTTTAACCACTCTTCAACCACCTGGGACAACACTCCATCTTCCAAACCTCTATGTGCTTAGAACTGACATTCAAATAAAGTCATAAATGGTGAGAAACAGAGTTTTGGTCCAAAACATCATTATTAGACTGCAACCAAGCCTCATGAATCTGCAAAGAGTACTCCAAACAGCACAAGACCTCCCCCATATTCGGCCTCGCTTTCCCTTCATCTGCAACACATTTCTCTGCAATCTCCCTGAACCTCGTCAGCGACTCGGGACAGTAACCCCCCTTCAGCGACGGGTCGATTATGGTTTCGAGCGATCCTAGCCGTTGGTTCAGCACTGCCCATTCTGCAAGGTTGATCTGATCTTGAGGTAAAGCCGGGTTTATGACAGCACGCGCGCAGACGGTTTCAAACAGCACCACACCAAACGAGTAGACATCGGATTTGGCGGTTAGCCTTTCGTTCCTGTAGTACTCGGGATCAAGGTACCCGTAGCTCCCTTTCACAGCTGTGCTCACATGAGTGTGTTCCACAGGGGGCCCGCTCTTCGACAGCCCGAAATCCGCCATCTTGGCCACAAAGTTTTCGTCCAAGAGGATGTTGGTTGTCTTTACGTCCCTATGAATGACGCCGCGCTCTGAGCCTGTGTGGAGGTAGTGAAGCCCTCTGGCGGCACCGATGCAGATTTCTAGCCTCCGCTTCCAGCTCAGCGGTGGCAAGCCGCTCCCGAAAAGATGACTCCTGAGGGTCCCGTTCGCCATGTACTCGTACACCAGTATCATCTCCTTCTGCTCGTCGCAGAACCCTATGAGTGGAACCAAATGTCTGTGTCTAAGCTTAGAGAGAAACTCTATTTCGGTTTCGAACTCTGACAGACCTTGCTGAGATTGTGGGTTTGATCTCTTGATTGCTGCAAGAGTGGCTTTCATCTGGCCTTTGTATACCTTCCCAAAGCCACCCACCCCTATCACCAAACTCTCATCAAAGTTGTTTGTTGCAGCTTTGATGTCCGCAAGGGCTATCCGTCTCCCCCATCTTCCATGGGATGATCTCTTCTTACCTTTTAATCCTACATGTTTGAGTTTCACTGTCTCTTGCTTTCTAAAGACAGAGATAATCAGCCAGCCGATGCACGCGCTGATTGATGCGATTGCCGTGCCTATTCCCAACCATAGGACCACTTTTGAGTTTCTTCTGCCCCTTTCGTCGTCGTGGTTCTGCACATAGGCAAGATTCCCGTCACGGCTCAGCTTGAAGATCTCTATGCCGTTCAGCAGAGCATCGGAGCCTTGAGAGCCCGTTGGCGTGCCGGGTCCCACTTGAACCCAAAGACGGTTGGATTCCGGTGACATGGCGTCGGAGTAATCCACGTGGTACGCCTTGTTCATCCCTCCCGCCCTTGCGAAAACGTCCACATTTTCAGCAGCAGTTTTGTTGTTTATGTAGATTCTGAAAACGCGCTGGCTCGGCTTGTCATATTCTAGCTCGCAGAAGTGTAAGCGGATTAGATAGTCGAAACCGGGGTCCACTTTCAACCTCCACGACATGTTGAATCTCCTGTCCATGACCAAAGTGTTGGCCATGGTTCTCGCCGTTTCATACACGAGTAGCGGGGCAATGGATGTATCATTTGGAGAGGCATAAGTGATTCTGGACTTGTTTCTGGATTCCAACCCGGCATCCGAGTTGATCATATACCCCGAATCCTCTTCCCACATCCTCCTAAATCCCGAATCTTGATCGGGTTTGACTGAATCACCCCCAACGTTCAATCTATACATAGTCTCAACCCCACGCTTACCCAAACCAGCATTCGAACCGTTCCCACTCACTTCATTAACCAACCCAACAAACAAGTCATGTGTGACTTGGACTATCTCTATAGCGCTAACAAAACCAAAAGATCCTTCTTTTGGGAAAAAGGCAATGACAATAGTATTGGTTTCTATAGGAACATAAAACTCCTTCACTAATGCAGAGAGGCTAGAATTCTTCCGCTGCGAAATGGCATAAGGGACATTGAGGTTGGAAGCCAACGTGAAACCGTTCGTTCGGACATCAAAGTTAGACCGGTTGGCGCTATAGTTCTGAAACACAAAGGGAAAGAAATGAAGTCTGATGAAATAATTACCGGGCTCTCCTTGACGAAGCGTATAGTTCAGAGGCTTTGAAAAGAATCTAGCAGTTTTGTAGAGAGACGCGTGGTTCGGATCACCATTAATGGCCGAGGAGGTGAAAGCTTCAATGCTGGGAGAACTGAGAGTTATGTTACTGCTAGGGGATGATGTATCACCAATCCATTTTTCACCATCAATGGTAAAACTAGAATTTGTACCACAGTTAATTAAGATGCTCTTTGTCTGAGCTTCAACATTACCCAAAACCCTAAGAAAAATCACCATAAGAAATAGGCCTATCTTGATGCCCAGGCCTTGGGCTGTCATCCTTCTCCCCTTATACCCACAATTCGTGCTCATAATCGAAAGGGTTTAGGGTTCGAATTCATGTTCAAGAACACGAAAATTTCCAGAAATCATTTCCTGTGTTGTTTTTTTCCTTCATCAATCCAAACTGTGAGGGCTATATCCATGGAGGGTCGTGAATAAGAAATCAAAAGACTGAACATATGATCTTCTTCAATCATTTGAACCGACCATGCAAAGAAGATATCAAAAACCACCGATGATGGTTTTCCAGAATTGAAACATTTGCAGAACAAAAGAAACCCAATCTAGCGAAAATCAAACGGGTCGAGAAAGGAAAATTAATTCGTAAAAAAAAAAAGATTTTGGCAAGAATGAATCTTTAAAGAGAATATAATACCAAGAATTGAAGAAGATGGATTGTTGAAAAAAGATCCGTCCTTTCCTCAGACTGGAAACCTCGTGATAACCTTTTTTTTGTAACTGGAGACGTAACTAATGTTAAAATGGTTTGATTTTTTTTTTTTTAAAAAAACAAATTTTGTAACTGTGAGACTGGGATGGGTATGGAAGGACACGTGGCCTCTTTTTATTTGTATTGAATTTCAAAGACATTACGGTATAACTTTTTTATTAATCGACATTTAACAGGTGGATTAACCTTGACTTGTTTGTTTTTCGAGTGGAGTTGAAACGCCATTTTTTGCTCATTAACATAGATAAACGAATTGTATCAACTTTTTTTACCAAATGGTAGGGAGCAGATGAAAGCAAACAAGAAAGTGTCTATCATAAAACAGGAAAGAAAAAAAACTTGGGAAAATCAAACACAAGTGTTCTGTAATCCCATAATAATATGTCATTATTACCTCAGTTGCACAAAAAAATAAATGGACCCTCAAGAATGGACGTCTTAATAAGCCGAACAATCGCGCTTTGTGTGTAAGGAGTATATAAATAAACGTAAGGGAGTGGCGCCTCTACTCATCTGTCACACATCCTCTTGATGCAGATTGAACGTTTTTTATGTACTGAAATTAACCAATAGATGAAGAAACAGTTTGTTATCATAGCAATCAAACAACAAACGGTGGGAAGGCATTAAAAATAATACGGAGTACTTCGTAATAAAAAATGTTTACCTTGTAAAGAACCCCCTTGTCAGCCTTGTAGGGTGGGGGGGTCCATTTATTTCGCCGCTCTTCTAACTCCTCATCCGTTAGATGAACATCCATTCTCCTCTTCTGAATGTCTACCGTAATTATGTCTCCGTTTCTAACCAGACCAATTGGCCCTCCTTCCTGGAAATGAATATTACAGAACAGAATGAATATTTACAGCAAAAAAAGATGAAGAAGAAGAAGAAGAATGAATGAATCAAACTGAGGCAGTGAGCTGGTAAAGTCAACACACCTGTGCCTCAGGGCATATGTGACCGACAACATATCCGTGCGAACCTCCAGAAAACCTTCCATCAGTAAGCAACGCAACATCCTGCAGTAACATAGTAATGCAGACCTTATTTGGATGCATTTCTATTAAGTGTGGCTTCCGGAAAAATAAGAGTTTGGTAGAGGAAAAACTCGGTTCTAAAAGTAGTTTCATACCTTTCCAAGACCTGCTCCCATAATTGCACTGGTTGGTGTCAACATTTCGGGCATTCCAGGTCCCCCCTTTGGACCCTCTCCTCTAATGACTACCACTTTTCCCTTAAAACTACTGGGGTTTTCTGAGATAGCTGCAATCATGGATTCTTCTCCTTCAAAAACAAGAGCAGGACCTGGAAAACAAATCACAATTAGCTAAGGCAGAAAACCATCAAGCTGAGATTCTAAACATGCACAAAAGATGCTCACCTGAGAAAAACAACCCTTCCTTTCCAGTTATTTTTGCTACAGAACCCTCCGGTGCGAGATTTCCATACAATATTTGAATGTGACCAGTTTCTTTGATGGGGTTAGCTAACGGTCTTATTATTTGCTGGAAACAGAAAAAAAAGTTCTCAAGAGGAGCACATTTTCATCTTTCAATCTTAAGAAGCAGACAGCCTAAAAAAGAGAACCAATAACATAGCATATTAACATTGGACGGAGGAAGCGATGCCTACCTGACCCTCTGCCAAAGCAGGGAATAGCTTTGCATTTTCACCTAGAGTCTCTCCCGTGACTACAAGTTGAAGAACTCATTAGAACTAGCACGTAACACAGCGCAAAACCAACTATTGTATGCCCTCCTTCCAAAAAAAAGGGTCTTGCTCAAAAAAATAATGTTTTAACCCAAAGAAAAGTCCTACTTTATTGGCAACAAAGTTAAATTTATAAAAAAGTTGAGTACTCCCTCCATCCCACAAAAAACGTCCTAATTTCCTTTTTGGGTGTCCCATAAAAAACTTTCTACTTGGCACTTACTCTATTTCTTTTTAACAAATTGGATGTATGGCTCACAAAGTTTCTCCCTTCTAAACAAATTCCAACCACTCGCTTTTCATTTTTCACTTTTCAACATTTTTCTAAAACTCCATGAAAGTCAAACCCAAAAGTATTTTCCTGGACAGAGAGAGTATATTACACTTAGTTGAACAAACAAATAAATTAAAGAATACAAGGTGCATAATTTAAAAGAACTGCACTTTACCAAAGATTAAAAGGTGTACCTTAACGAAACAAGACTCACTCTGGGATGATGGAGTGATATCTAAATTTTTTTTAAAAAAAGTTAAGCAATTATTACCAGTAATACAATCCCCATCTAGCAGCCCAAGCTCCAACAGGTAGCGAATCACAGCAGGTGTGCCTCCAATCTAAACAATGGTGTTTCGTCAATTCAGCAAAGCCAATGGCAGTGAAATAATACAGGCCAAAGTGAATATCTAACTGTGTTAATACCTTGTGCACATCCTCCATGACATATTTTCCACTAGGTTTCAAATCAGCCAGGAAAGGAACCGCATCGCTAACCTTTTGAAAGTCATCAAGATGTAGTTGCAACCCAACAGACCTGTCCAGAATGTATGTAACAATGACTTGCCTATCTATGTATCTATATCACTATAAGTGAACCAAATAGTGGAAATTGTCTGTCTTTGTTCACCTTGCAATAGCAATTAAATGTAAAACGGCATTGGTAGACCCGCCTAGTGCCATGACCATGACCATAGCATTTCGCAGCGATTTTGGAGTAATGATGTCTCGGGGTTTCAAGTCCATCTTCAGTAAATTGAGAAGATACTTGGCAGCAAGGCGACACTCGTCCAACTTCAATGGATCTTCAGCCGGTGTGGACGAGCTGTAAGGAAGGGACATCCCCATAGTCTCTATAGCAGATGCCATAGTGTTTGCTGTATACATTCCACCACAGGCCCCTGCTCCAGGGCATGAAGTGCGAATTACATCCATCCTATGCTCATCACTAACAGAGCCACTCACATACTCTCCATAAACCTATAAAGAAGAATCACAAGTTAGATGCCCATTTCTCCAAAGGAAGCACTTCAAAACATAAACGATGATGAAAAACAAGCAAGAATAATATCCAGAGGGAACGTTGCATGTTTTCACCTGGAAGGCAGAGACTATGTCAAAGGTGTGCCCTTCAAAATGACCAGGCTGCACATGGAATGAAATACCAATGATCAGATAAAGTTCATCATCCACAAAAACATGAAAATATATTAACATTATGTTTGGTTTAAGGAATTTCAAACGAAAAAGAAAAGAAAATGGTTTTCTCTCATTTTCCTCACCAAAATGGGAAGCATTTGGTTTCCTCTCTTCTTAGTACAATCTTCCATCTCATTTTCTTTTCTTCCCACTTTTCTTCTATTTTCCTTTCTAACCAAACAAGAAAAACAATTTTCCATCTCATTTTTTTCACTTTTCCCTTTCAAATTCCTTGAACCAAACATACTATTCAGAAAAAGGAAATGCAAGTGATGTTAAACTTGGAAAATGCATGGCATTTGCACAATGCAAACTAATCAGATATTTACACAATGTGTTGAAATACTCCAGTCTCGACTACTTCCATTGATTAATTTGATCTTATAATTTCTGCATCCATGCATGGGCACATATCTAGTAATAATGTTTCAATCGTAGTGCGGAACACTTGGTAATTTACTCTATCTCTAGAATGCATGTGATGGATTCATGGACATGAGAATACAAAAGAAAGGTCTTCTGTCTTCGTACATTTTTTTTCTCCTATTCATTCCTCAATAAATATTGTGTGTGTGAGGTGAAAGGGGGATAAGACAAGGCTTTTTCTATGAGACATTTTTCTGTGGGTAAATACAAAACAGGTAAACAGCTAAAGATATTAAGGAAACATGCTGCTTCATCAGCCATGATAGTATAATTGCTTCAAGAGCTATTGTTTTCAAGTGAAACAAAATGGTGCATTGGAAGTAAAAATCATTCAAAAGGTGTACATCTAACCTTGATAGTTCCACCATAAACCATGATGCTTGGCCTGTTCAACCGTCCCATTGCCATAATTGTGCCCGGCATCTGCAAAAGTGATGCCAATAAATTACAAAAATATGAAATGCACTGGTAAAGATTAAGCTTACAAATGCGATTCTAAATTGGAGCATAGGCATTTAAAAAAATACTCCGTAAAAAGAAGTATTTATTTTGGCAGAGTTGCTCCATGGATTTCCTTCATATGATATCTCATCTAACATCTTCCCTGCCTATTAGACTATGCTACTTTCGTGTACTGCCTTAAACAGGCAAAAGATTTCAACTTTGATTTAAACTTTCAAAACCCACGAGTCAAGACCATTGCTGAATGCTAATAGAAAAACCATACAATACTTTAACATTAGATACATACATACACTACAAATTCATCACAACCAACATACAATTGTATGAACCTTAAAATCAATTAATAAACAGAAACCTCACATTCTTGTCGCAGCCAGGGATAGATATGTTTCCGTCGTACCACTGAGCAGACATGACAGTCTCAATGCTATCAGCAATCAAGTCCCTTGACTGCAGGCTATAACACATCCCTCTAGTCCCCATGGAAATGGCATCACTGACCCCAATAGTATTGAACCTGAACCCGACCATGCCGGCCTCCACAACCCCCTCCTTCACGGCCTCCGCCAGCTTGAGCAAGTGCATATTGCAGGTGTTCCCCTCGTACCAGACAGACGAAATTCCGATTTGGGGCTTGTGCATATCCTCGTCCGAGAGGCCCACTCCGTAGAGCACAGCCTGCGAGGCGCCCTGCGACTTGGGCTCCGTGATGCGCGAGCTGTACTTGTTGAGCTTGTTACCGGAGGAGGAGGCTGGCTGGGGCGGCGGCGGAACCGTATCCGAGGCGGAGACGGCTTGGACGGCGAAGGCGGGCGGATTGATTGTGTGGGGCCTACATTGAGAGAAATTGGCCCCGCGGATTGCGGCGGAAGAGGGGCGGGTGGCCGCGAGTTTGAGAGCAGATGG